GCATGTCGCTGCGAAGTTTGAACCAAACTGCCCAATTTGGTTGAGATATATCAATAAATAAGCAAAGTACAACCGTTTATTTATTATTCATGAGAATAACATGGGATTTTAAATTTACAATTTTTTAATTATCTAAAATTACTCTCACAATGGTAATTATGGAAAATATATTCAATTCAGTTCAATGTCAATACACATTTGTTTACTACGGCAAATTAAAGCAACAAAGACCTTGTTAAATAAGTCAACTTAACCTGAAATATTTCACAGGGATAAGGCACTGATGTGTCCATTCCAAATGTACTGGCTTATACTATATTTGTTCATTTACATATGTTCTGTTCAGTTGTTATTGTTTATATGATGATTCAGTTACATTATAGAATTGTGATTAATTAAAGAAAACTTGAGTTACTGCATTAAAATATTACATTACTAAAATATCTATCAATGGCGACGAGAATAATGGAAGATTTAGAAAAAATAGCAGAAGATGTAAATAAAGTTAGGAAGTTGAAATCATTGCGAAGAACAGTCAAGTTTCAGCTTGGAAATGTAAAGAAGTATGTGGACAAAGGATCATTTTCTATCAATGAAATCCAAACTAGACTTGATTTGTTAGCTGAGATTAAATCAAAGTATGACCTAATTCAAGACAATATCGACTTCTATACAGAAGAAGAAGATTTAGAAAACGAGCTAACTTACAGGGAAAGTATTGAAAACATGCTTATTGATACAAAAGCAAGATTATTGGATGCCCAGGTCTACAAGCCATGAAAGATGGAGGAGGGAATATGGAAATTAAGTTACAGAGATTCTTGATGCAAATGAGACAATCAAGAAACTCCACTGGATCAAATTCTTACTTCCTAATGTTTCAGAGAAATGTAAGAACGAGACTAGATTTGATGATAACAAATAACACACCTTCAAACAGTGACTCTAAATGTGCAAAGGGAATAAGAGACTTTAAAAAGGGGGAAAGAGTTCAAGCTTATGATTTCAGAGACAAGAAAAACAAGTGTGTTTGGTAAAGTAAAGAGCAAGGATGGACAGTTAATTTACGTTCTTGAAATGGATGATGGATCTATATGGAGGCGGCATATCAACCACATGTTACCTTCTAAATTTAAGGGGGAGGATTGATGTGTCCATTCTAAATAATGTACTGGCTTATACTATATTTGTTAATTTACATATGTTCTGTTCAGTTGTTATTGTTTATATGATGATTCAGTTACATTATAGAATCTATATAATTAATACGCTACATGAAACTTTGTCGGTTGAACTCCTCCGCCATTTCTTAACTGATTTTATCCATTGACGTCTCATTGGAAAGAGCGTGTCGCGTAGATTTGCAAACTGGCCTTACATTTTTGAAATAGTCCCTTGGGCTCTGCCCCAGTGGCTTTGAAAGATCCCATGTTATCCTTATGAAGAACATAATTGTTTACATTTTGATCAGCTGTATAATGAAATTGCTGTTATTTATTTATCAATTCAATGATACGCATTGAGTACATTTATTTACTATTTGAGTTTGTGTAAACATAACCCCCAAGACGGATCGTGTTAGTATGGTTGTATCTTAAATTTGTGTATTTATCGTGGTTTTGTGTCGCTATGACGGATCGTGTTAGTATGATTGTAACTTAAATTTGAGCATTTATCGTTGTTTTGTGTAGCTATAATTTGTTTATTTGTTTTTATCTCTTTTAAATGCCACCAACGCGACGACAACGAAACATATACAGGAGGCGTAATCGTAATAACGACCGCAGCTACAGAACAGTGGCGCGTAATAGGCTTAATCATAGAGAAAACATACTCCTCAAAGATTATGTTTTATCTATGGCTTAACTCATCACAGTTAGCACCTGACCCTGGACAATCTCAACTAATAGGTTACAAATGTGCCCTAACACTACCCCAAAACGACTTTTCGTTCTCAATTGGCCCTCTATGAATGACCTGTGTTGCCTGTACAGCGAGGCATTTGGAGAAGGAGAAAACCGGCTGGATTGCTTAAGGTTTATCAATAACGAAGAGAAACATGGACAACCTTATATGACTAAATAAGTCAGGAAATGTTTGTAGAAAACGTCAAAAAAGCAATACCAGGTTATGAAGTATGATACAATATTTACATGAAATGTTGACTACTGTTATACACATTGTGAATATCTCCATGAGCTACTCACCGGTAATCTTTGAGTTGACTCTTTTAAACTCATTGTAAATATGATTGTTATTCATAAAAAAACTCCTGTAATACTTTGCAATTGCTCGAATTCGAGCAACATGTACACTAGTTGTGATTAATTAAAGAAAACTTGAGTTACTGCATTAAAATGTTACATTACTAAAATATCTATTAAGCACGGTTATTGCACAAAGATTCTTTTGAATATAAATGAACATGCGGTACTAGTTCATTGTAGTAGGCTAATTTACAATTACTACTATCATTGACTGGCAGTCAGTCAAGGAGTCAAGCAAGAGTCAACGGTCAACGCCACTGCTAGTACTGCTATGCTACTAAAAAACTAACATTGAATTGTAACATTGTTTCTTGTTACAATTTCCGCGCCGAAATAGAGGAGTGAGGAGAACTACAACTATTGCATTGCTCTTTGGCCAATCGCAATCGCTCCCCCCCTCCACAACGCACCGCATTCCTTTCCTGACCCCCTCTCACCAGTGTTTCCATTTGAGGGATAAAAATCCCTTTCTAGGGATATTTAGGGCCTTCGAGGGATTGAAAAGGGATTGAGGGATAACTAGGGATAATCAGCGAAATTGAAGGATTTTTGAGATTTTCTAGGGATTTCAGGCCTTTGACATTATAAAATTGAAATATTGATAAAATAATACATTATGGCTGTATTTCAACAACGTTAAGGACCTATTTTGGCTCATTTTGCAAGGTATTGATATCACATTGATAAAAATACTTTTCCCTAGGTTTTGGTAACAAATCGATTATTGTAGCATAGATAAAACAAACGGTTAGTCTATGGTTGTAGGTAGTGGTAGTGAAGTAGGTAGTGTTTCAAGTTTCAAAGTCGGAACACTCAAGGGGAAGAGTAACAGCCAACACTGCACGAAACAAGCAAGGTTGGAGTTGGTCGGTGGAATGGAATGGCGGATCTAGATTACTGTATTTATTTGTTTCTTATTAGTCCTGTGTCAATGTCGAATGTTTGTTTTCGTTTTCATTTTGTTTGCCGGTGATTTCTGTGATGTTCTTTGGTTAGTAAGTAACTTGGTGTAACCTTTTCACCAAGGCATGGTGGCCATGTTTGAAAAATACCGTACTATTAAGTTTGAAATTTGGACACTTGAGTAATATTTTTGAAACAATTGTAGGCCTAAATACTTATAATAAAAATTATTAGTTTGTAAAATTTAAAAAATAACTATTTGTTTAATTTTGTTAGTTAATTAATCTTGTTTTGTACCACATAGACAGTTTTTAATCACGGCTACCTTTAATTCCAGACCGGAGGCCACGGCCTTCGAAGTGGCAACGTTGCAAGTATAGTGTTGTAAAAGGTGTTTGTTTGGAGAACGCTAAGCTAATGATATTTATGTATTTTTTTAAGAATACGAAAGCTTGGTTACTGAGCTATGAAAATGTCGACTCCACATTGAATGTACAGAAATAGGTTTTCAATTTATATTGTTTTGGTTTTCGATTCTATATTATGTTTTATTTCCATGTTAGCGAATTTCCCATATAGGGAATAAGCTATTACCGTAGTACTCATGGTAAGACATGGACGCGGGATCGATTTTTTTTTCGTTTTGAGGTCCCTAGAGGCCAAAAACACCATCTGTTCCAATTCATATATATATATATATTTATATGTTTATATATTTATATATTTATATATATATATATATATATATATATATATATGTGTCCGTTAGCACGATAACTCGAACAAAAATTATCCGATTTTGATGAAATTTGGTACAAACGTGTAAACCTACATTTATTCGAACGAGTTCGCGATCCAGCTTGATCGGACCATGGGAACGGGGGTTTACGGGGAGTTTTATGGGGTAAAAATAGGTTTTTCCCATTTTTGACCCAAAAAACATAAAATTTAGCAATTTTTTTCCAAACCATTTTGTAGAGCTTAAAAAAACAAATAATTTAGTATACTGAAGCGTTATTATGCGCCTAATGGTTACGGAGAAAATTCCAAAAAATTGTAAATTTAAAATTCCCATGTTATTCTTATGGAGAATAAGTAAACTGTTGTAGTTTGCTTGTTTATGAACATATTTTGATCAAATTTGGAAAATGTTTTTATTTCTTACTAACTATTAACATTTACAAAAAAAAAAACAGTTTTACCCTCCCTGATGCAGCAAACCTAAGTACTTGTTAAACTAATTCTATTTAAATAGGGAATAAATGTTATATTTTTAAGTAGACATTTCAGTGTAAATCCAATCAGTCAAATGGAAATTCGCTTAGTCTGCAGGTTTGCTGCGGCGGGGGTATTAACTTATGGGACGTCTGGCGCTAAACAATACTACGGTACTTGCAACGTTGCCAATTCTACCATGCCGCGGCCTGCCTGGAGTTAAAGATGGCCGTGGTTTTAATGGTACAAAAATGTTTTTTATATAGTATTAGGCCTACTTTACAAATAATATGGGATATTGAAGAATAATATCACCAGTTACCATATTTTTAGGTGGCTATACATGATATCCATTGGTATTGCTGCAAAAATAATAAGTTATCTAGATTTGATATAGAGGGATAATTGGAGGGATTATTAGAACACGGACTAGGGATAACTAGGGATTTTTTGACGTTGGCCTAGGGATATTTTTTTCTTGCGGATGGAAACACTGCCTCTCACAGCTGCTACTACGAATTGTTTGGGTTTGGATTCAGTCAGTTTGTTTTTAGTTAGAGTTTTGCGTTGGTCCACGCGTGTAGCAAGTAGCAAGTGTGTTCGTGTTAACTGGTGGAAGTGCAAGTGAAGCAAGGAGCCAGTGTGTAAAGTGATGATTATTCGCTAGTGTCATGTGCATGGAGATATGTTTGAAATTAGAAAATGAAAGCGAAAAACAAGGATTTTGTGAAGTGGCTCAACTCGTTGCATCAGGATAGAAGGAGACACCACTTTAACAATGTAAGATGGTTTGTTTTGATACCAATATAAGTTTTTTTAACACTGTTCCTTAACACGATTAGTCTGTTTCTAATTTATTTTTATTTATTTATTTGATTAGATTGCAATGTTCAAGTTAGGTTTAGTGATACCAAATAACTTGCATGACTACATAGCAGTTGCAAGAAAATTTGCCAAAATGAATAATTCTATAATTATTTCATTTGCAAAAAAATTGTCATTTAAAAATGCTAGTAGGCCTTGGCTACTATTATATTGTGTGGCTTTGGCTAGGATTGTACGATACTATGGTTGTCATTTTAGAGCAGTTTTGGCACCAACATTATTTTCTGTTCCACAATTTCATCACTAAGATGTGTGATGATCGGTGATGATGATTTTTTTAAATAGGACATTACTGTGACTTACTTTGTTATTAAACTTTGAAAACCTTGGTCTCTAGACGTAAAAACGAATCTATTAATCTATTGGTACAACAGGTACCTTTTCAAATAAAAAAAACTGTAAACAAAACATCTGCACAATTTAGCTGTCCTTCACGATTTTTGGCTTGCGACAGTTTTGAAAATTTATTGCCCGTTATGAACATTTAACCAATTTTGGAATAACTTCTTGATCAGCATCGTGCGTGTTTTTAAATTACCTATCAGAAAAATAAAAAATACACGTCTAATATCACCTGTAATAGGTGTAGTGATTGATTTCGATTGGAGTGCATGTCCGCCGCTTAACTTTTATATGTAGGTTACTGTCTTAAGTGTAAATATACAGGGTGTCCCGGAACTCTCTACCAATATTTTAGGGCATTGCTCCTGGGTAAGAAACATACCTAAATATCATATTTAAATTGTCCGGAAGTCCTTAGTTACTCACACAGCCGCCATTTCGTTTTTTTAGTTATTAATTTTTTTCTAAAGAATGGTTAAACATATGAAATTGAAACTTTGCACAAACATTTATGACAACTAGACAAAGCTACAAACAAATTATGAAGATTTTTCAAATTCATATAACAAAATGGTGGCCATTTTAAATTTTTATAAAATCAACGGTGTTTGAGCTATTTAAGAAACAAAATTTTAAATGGCCGCCATTTCGTTTTATGAATATGAAAAATTGTCATAATTTTTTTGTAGCTTTGTCTAGATGTCATAAATGTTTGTGCAAAGTTTCAATTTTGTATGTTTAACCACTCCTTAGAAAAAAATTAATAACTGAAAAAAACAAAATGGCGGCTGTGTGAGTAACTAAGGACTTCCGGACAATTTAAATATGATATTTAGGTATGTTTCTTACCCAGGAGCAATGCCCTAAAATATTGGTAGAGAGTTCCGGGACACCCTGTATTTATTACAAGAGTGTTATTAAGACATGTATTTTTTTAGAAACATTTTATAACAAGATGTCCTATTTATTTATTTTATGCAATTGCATACGGCAAACGCCAAGTACTATGGTGACATACAACCTATAGCATATTCATGTAGGCCCAGGTATTATCTTACAAAATTATGTTATATTTTTAAAAGTGAAACTAGGTGTACAAATCTGTTAGCATTTTAGCAGTGCAGCTCAATTATTATAGGTCACTGACTCTGAACTGGATTTGTTGCTTGAAATTTCTTGTGGAGCGCTTTCTAAAATTTCCAGACAGTCCCAAAGGCTAATCCTTGGCTGAGAAGCTGCAGCTATGCATTTTGAATAACTACTGGACTTAGCTAGAATTGCAAGTAGACAGTAGCCTATCTCTTAAGGTTTATTGGTCTGTTTCGTTAGCCAATATGTAAGCTGCTGGGGTTTTATGTTTAGTTATTTAAATTACTTTTTGTCGGTAGAAAAACGTTTGTCAACAGAGTCGGAGTAACTTGTTTGGATTTAGATAAGGATTGAACCTTTGCCCTTGTGATATCACTATCAGGCGGTCGCCGATGGACATAGCTAGCATTTTATGTAGATTTTAAACCAGATTTAGCTTACCTACTTTGAATTTTTAACCTATGGAACATTTTTAAGGTCTGTTTTTAATAAATGCATAGAAGTAGGCGTAATTAAATTTATTTAAGTTCTGTTTTGACTATAGATATACATTCCATTCCCATGTTGACTTTCGTAGCCCATAAAAAAACGAAATACCCCCGCCGCAGCAAACCTGCAGACTAAGCGAATTTCCATTTGACTGATTGGATTTACACTGAAATGTCTACTTAAAAATATAACATTTATTCCCTATTTAAATAGAATTAGTTTAACAAGTACTTAGGTTTGCTGCATCAGGGAGGGTAAGACTGTTTTTTTTTGTAAAATGTTAATAGTTAGTAAGAAATTAAAACATTTTCCAAATTTGATCAAAATATGTTCATAAACAAGTAAACTACAACAGTTTACTTATTCTCCATAAGAGTAACATTGGAATTTTAAATTTACAATTTTTTGGAATTTTCTCCGTAACCATTAGGCGTATAACAACGCTTCAATATGCTAAATTATTTGTTTTTTTAAGCTCTACAAAATGATTTGGAATGAAATTGCTAAATTTTATGTTTTTTGGGTCAAAAATGGGAAAAACCTATTTTTACCCCATAAAACCCCCCGTAAACCCCCGTTCCCATGGTCCGATCATGCTGGATCGCGAACTCGTTCGAATAAACGTAGGTTTACACGTTTGTACCAAATTTCATCAAAATCGGATCATTTTTGCTCGAGTTATCGTGCTAACGGACACATATATATATATATATATAAATATGAATTTGAACGGATGGTGTTTTTGGCCTCTAGGGACCTCAAAACGAAAAAAAAATCGGTCCCGCGTCCAGGTCTTACCATGAGTACTACGGTAATAGCTTATTCCCTATATGGGAAATTCGCTAAAACAGAATATACGATGGATAGACCATTTGGTAAGTGCTAATGCCTTTCCCATGGATTATAATATAGGCTAGCCAATGCTTACCAGTACTGATGAATGTCCAACTAACTTTTTCAAGCCATGCCTAAAGGACAAATTATTGTTTAATACATATTTGATACAGTAATCTATAGAAACATCTTCGACGAAGAGAAAAGTATAATTTTCTCGTTCTTTACGTTGGCGTTCTATAGAATATTGTGTATAGAAGTTGAAGTTGGTTGCTATGGATAGGATTTACCATCTCCTCTCTTTCTCTCGTTTTAATTGATTCTCATCCAAAGTGTACGGTATTATCCAATGGACCTGCTCCACTCGAAAATATCTACCGGTATTCATTTTATGAAGTAGAATATGTACCAAAATGGGATTGTCCTCTTATTAGATGTGTTTAAGTTTAATGTTGGTTATTAATAGATTTATTCTTCTGTATTAATAATGTTGTTAATCATATGAAGATACTGTGCATTTCATAAAGATCTGCAATGATAATGCAACGACTTTTACTATAGATTAGTTATCTATCAAACAAAAAAAGATTAATCGGTTACGCGGACGTTGCGTTGCCAGCTCCATTGTTCCCCGCGTGTACTTGTACATGCAGCGCTGTGGTGGCGCACTGTGTAACTAAAGGCAGGGACACACTTGTCATACACCCTTCCGATCCGACTCCGATCATACTGCGGTACGACTGTCGGAGAGGGGAATGGTACATAACTTTAAACGTGGTTGTTTACACCTCTCCGACACGCGTCACGTCATACTCCGATCCTACTCCGATTTTGGCTCCGATCACGCACCGACACTGCAGTCTATTCGTTTGTCGGATGCAGGATGGGTTGTTTTTTTAAAATCACCTTTATTCTTAAGATTTAAGAATAATGGTTTAAGATAAATATATGCCGATGCTTTATGTGAAATCTGTGCGTGCATACCTTCAATTTGAGACCTCGATCATGAAAATCGGACGGGTTGAAGAGCCAAACGAACTCGAGAGAGAAAACCCAATGTGCTTAATATAAGATGGGCACTTAAGTAAACCACCTAACTTTCTTTCCATACAGAATGAACCCAAATTCTTCGTTTTCCACTTCCCTTCAGAGATGTCTGACTTTCTTCCTCTTCATCTAGACAAACCGCCATCATGGGTGAATCCCGAAGTCCAAAGTTTTTGAACATTTTTACCACCTTCTGCACGTAGTTTACAAATCAGACTGGCAAGTGTTGATCGACCGGTGGAGGAAATCTGAGATGGGTCGGAATCGTGTATGACATGTGTGCTCACCCCCTCCGATCCCGCACCGATCCTTCTGGAATCCCGCAAATCGGATCGTAGTAGGATCGGAAGAGTGTATGACAAGTGTGTCCCCGCCTTAACGCCTCATTGTTGCGAATCGCGACTCGCGAGGAGATTTCCAATGTAAGTTTGGATCCACCAAACCACCTATATTAGAGATTAGAGCAGAATCTCCAGGGATCATTAAACGTAAAATAAATTACGTCAAGGGCCCGAATCTTACACCAAAGACTACCACAAGTAGACTTCTCATCCCGATGTAAATTAAGCTCGGTGTTCGTGTCTAGTTCTAGTTCATGTCCTGTGACAATGGGCGTTACTGTCGACGAAATTATGGTTCTATTAATTTTCGGGGTAATTTATTGATTTGTGCTTTACGGTTTGATTAGAGCTAGAGGACGGGTTATTGTTTATGTCATATATAGTTTTATTTCGTTAAACAATGTTTTCATTTACTGAAATAGCAAGAAACAAATTGTAAACAAAACATGACCTCTAGTGCACCAGACAGGACTAACAATAAAACTGGCTTCATCCGTTCCATAAGGATGGTAAATCTATATAGGCCTACTAAGAGAGAATGTTTTATCTACAATATATGGTTTGGAACTGTTTGACGGTTCCATTTAAATAATAATAAATCAAGTCATATCTACTTTCGGACTAGTGACGTTATTAGGTACTGCTTTTGATTCCCACATACTCCTAAATGGCTAAAGTGATCCATACGAAATTGAGCACAGTAACCAACTATGGGAAGGTATAAATATAAATATGTAACCACAGTGTGCTTTC